AGGACTTCATTTCTGTTGCATTATACGATCAGTGAATGTTTAATTCAGGAATCGTTGGTGTTACACTTGAACAGAACTAATGGCCAAGCACTGCTTGTTTTCTTAGAACTCAGCCTGCACAAGATTGCAAAGCCTCAATTTACTGCATTTTTACTTAGCAAATTAAAGATGTTTACATGTAGTGCCAATGATGTTAGACTTGTGGTACACTTTGAAATGCAGTCTGCTAAAGACTATAAGATAGATACAAAAGCTAATCAAGTGGGGTTTGAATTTTAATGACTGTGCACCACTGAGCTTTTTGTATTGGAGTAATGGAAGAAAAAAAAAACAAAAAAAAAATCAACACAGAATCATTTTACTGTGCAGCTGAGAGGTGCTCGATACCACTTCAGTTTTTTCATATGAAATGTATAGAGAAACTGAAATGCTTGTGATCATTACTTTCCTAGCAGAAAACCCTGTCTGGGCCAAGTCCTGTTGCCCTGCTTGCTAATTGAGGGAAATTTCAGAGTGCAAGAGTGTCAGACAGTGCCGGGCACAACTGAAACTGCCAGGGAAAAGTCAGTGGGTAAAATTGTTTATTTTCAGTTTGGTGTTCAGTTGCCATTTTGCATCCCTTACGTGTTACAGGGTATGGCTTTGGTGCTGTGCTGGACTCAGGGCTGCTGACACCTTCCATCCAGTTGGCTGGGGCTGCTGCCTGTGTGCAGGCCGTGCTCCCGGTGTGCTGGCAGCAGGACGCAGCGTGGGCAGGGCTGGGTCACCTTTGCGTGGGGCACCGAGGGCTGCGGCACAGGAACAGGGCTGGCTGTACCTGGGGGCTCCTGCTGATGTCTTTTCCACAGATGTCCAACTTTGTGACCAACCAGTAAATCTTGTGAAGCTTGTTTTCCTTAGAGCATCTGTGTTTTATAACAGCGCTTTTGATTTGTTTTTCCTTTGTCTGGTGAGGTTTCTTTGGTCCGGCACGGTCAGGCCTGCCTTTCTTCCTGGTGGATGTGAGCCCGCCGCTGATGGCTGCCCGGGGATCGCAGCACGGCCCGTGCTGTGTGCCTTCTTCATTCCATCCTCGCATTAATCCGTTTTCCTTTGGAGCATTTGTGGAGTAAAAGGTCTGGAAAAGCGTGCCTCAGGTTTTGGGGGTGGTGTGCTTGTGGCAGGCTTTCAGCAAACAGAGCTAACGGATGATACTGCCTGTGTCCAGCAGGCAAAGGTTATCCTGTGTAATGCTGCACTTGTAAATAAAGCTCTGCTATCAGAGCACCAGGGCACAACACCCTCAGCTTTCAGCTACTTGTCTGCTTGATCTCTGCCTGCAAGTCCCTGAGTAAAATTAGTAAGAGATTTACCAACAGCTTAAACTGAGACATATTTTTTGCACTGGATGTCTAAAATGCTGAATTAGGATTAACTGTAGGAGTTTGGGGTTTAGCTACGATCGGGATCTGTGACCTTGAGTCTATAATATTTGAGTGGAAATAATCAAAGAGTCATAGAATGCTTTGGGTTGGAAGGAGCCCTTAGAGGCCGTCTGGTCCCACTCCCCTGCGATGAACAGGGGCAGCCACTGCTCCATCCAGTGCTCAGAGCCCTCCAGCCTGACCTTGGGGCTGTGCATGCATGGGGTTAGCGAGTGGCATCCTGAGTTGTGGCCCAAGCTGGGAGTGTTGGCAGGTGATTGCAAAGAGAGAAAATAAACTGGGGCCGAAACTGGCCTCGATTTGTTCCTTACACAGCACTTGAACTGCCATCTGAAAATCTCTTTTGTGGCAAACACTTGACCGAAAGGACTTGCCCTGCTGTCCTGGGGGCTGCTGATACCATGGCCTGGCTGATTTCCAAGGGAAGAGCCTCACTGCGACGGATGCTGTGTTGAATATGTTATTGTGGGGATACAATTGCCATGATATTGCTATGACAATTTTTGTTTTCCTAGATTATTTGCAATATAAAATAATCCTTGCAAAGTTGATATGTAGCGATTTATGTTTAACTTGCAATATACAGCCAAGTTAGCATTTAAAGTTCAATTGTCAGTGCAAAGTGAAACTATTCCTCTGAAGGTATCATTGTGAAATATGCTTCCTTACAGGAATTAATGTGCTGTCCACATGTGGAGAGGTAATCTGAGCACAGCATCCTGCTGTATGAGGAACGTTTGATATTTCTAGAGGACTTAAACCTTGGCTTATTTCTTGTGTGTCCTTTGACAGTGAATCCACAACTGCACCAAATGCAGCAATAACGTTGATGCTTGCCTGCATTCTTTGTGCTCTTTTGGCCCTGCGTGCAGAACTGCCGTTTCCTGAAGGAGGGGATTCACATTTGTGAGGGCTGCAGGGGGACGTTTGTGAATTTCTGGATGGGCACAATAGGTCAATATATAATTATGGGATTTTTAAAGGACCAATTAAATGTAATGTGTGATGCTGTTTTGTTCCAATGAAATCCAGTCTCCAACACGGCTTCTGCCAAATGCTTGGTAAGGTAGCAATCCTGGGCACTGAGTGCCTTTTCTGGATCCCAAGGCAGTGCAGGTCTGGAAACTTGGATGCATGTCTCTGATAGGCCTGAGGCGAGACACAATGAAGATGTAAGAGCATAGAACATTTCCATCATAGAAATAACTAAAAATAATTCAGTGCAAACCACAGCACATCTTTTTACTTCTTCCTGTTAAGCACAATATTCTTTAACCTTATTGTGCCCCCTTAACATCCCTGTAATCAGATATTCAAGAAAAACTTTACTGTAATTTATCTCTTCTTTGTAACATTTCCATTTTTAATTTTTGACTTCTACCACTGTTAATTACATTTATTTGCAACAAAGCAACAAAAGGTTGCTGCAGAAGTGATGGATTGGAGAGCAGTAGCTATCGGGATATGTTTGGTATTTTCCCTTTTATTGTAGCTGTGTTTTTAGACTTAGGATTTTAAAGTTAATGCTGTAGTTTTCGGAGTGCCCTCGACTGCCTTGGGATTGGTCACCTTGTGTGGAAATGGGCTCATCCCCATGCAGGAGGCACATCTGTAAATGCCCGGCTCTTCTGCGTGCAGACGATGTGTTGAATCAACAGATAGCTTTGCACGTGGAAAACAAGGTGATGTGAAGAGCAGAAGGCACTGGGTAATTAAATGTGCCTTTAGAGAGAGGGAAGCTGTTATGACACAGTCAGTTCAGGAGTTCGTAGTTAATCATTATGTTCCTAAGAAATAAGAGAAAACAAATTGCAGCCGCCCGGAGCCCCTGCAGGTACGCTCTGTGTGCTCTGTTGCTCCTGGTGAATACAGGAGAGTGAAACACTTTCAGAGAGGCCTTGATTACATGCAACAGTGACTAATTAGACAATAAAGCAGCAGACTATTCATACTGCTTTCTACAAGAACCAAGAATGCATTATGAAACTAATCTTAAAAAAAATTAATTGCATCTCAGTCTTAATTTAAAACTGAGGGTTCCCCCCTCCCCCCCCTCCCCTTTCCTGTTTCTTTTTATTCCAAGTTGGTCCAGGAAAATTGCTATTAATGAAATCTGCTCTCCGAGACTTCAATAGGCTTGTTATTCATTAAGGCCTCAGTATTTCTCTTAAAACGTATTGACCAGTGCTCAGGCCAGATACTTAACACAAAGTACACTTCGTAATTTCATCATTTTTGTTGTGCTCCTCTGAGATGCAGAGGTCTGCAGACTGCAGGAAAACAAATAAAAACCCCGAGCTTACAGTTATAGAGTATAAAAGAGGGGTAAAGGAAGCACTGAGTGTCTTTAAGATGATGAGACATTCATTAAGATTTTTCTGCCTTCCTTTTCCTATTTGCAGCCCATCTGAAGTATCATTAAAGCTTTTCAGGCAGCTTCCTGTGAGAAACCCTCTTCTGCGCTGTTTTTCTTCCTTGAAAAAAGGTGGCTGCTCTTCAGTCAGATTGTATGGATTTGGCCTGGGATTTGTATAATAACTATGGAGAATGCAGCGGTTGTTTAGGAACCTAATTCCCAATATGGCTCCCTTTTGATTAAGAACAAAGCAAGCATTTCACAGCATTATAGGAGCACAGAAAAACAAGTTAATGATCTAAACCTTTTAATTCATGGTTGCTTGTCTATTTAAAGTACTTCTGATTCTGCTATAAACAGACTGGCCCCTTTTTTGTTTAACTTCTTTCTTTGGTTTCTTCACATTTCTTTCTTTACTGTCCATGAAATTTGCAGCGAGTTTCCTTTTCTAACTGAAGAATGAGAGGCTGTGACTATAGAATGATACAGAAAGTAAGAAAGCGTATCTAAACCGGGCGTATATCCAGCACAGACCTCTTTGAAACAAGCTAAATTTAGGGTTGTTTTTGTTATGCTTTCTCCTTCCCTTTTTGAATACTGATTTTTTTTCATTTTATTTCTCTCTTTTTTTAACGAATATCAAGTCTTTGACTTTTTCAATACTTGATTTTTAGGTGATGCTGGGTATGGCTTTACTTGAAGTAGTTACTTGTGGTATTTGCTTTCTTCCTTAGCTCAGCAGATTGCTGTTCTTTGTGCCTTTATCTAGAGAGACAAGAGCGGCCTTTTCAGAACTTTCAATTACCAACAGAGAATGTGGTCCTTCAGGAAGAAGTTCCCTTCCAGAATATTCTTTTTTTTTTTTTCCTTTTCTTTTTTCCCCCCATAGCGATCTGGATCCAGAGTCTGTTCTTCAAACCCAACTCCCAAACTTTTTGGTGAACAAACCTGCCAGGGAAGCAGCAGCAGCATGAAGAATATCCTTGCCGTGGAAGGGCACCTTTCCCCCTACATCTGTATAAATAAAGATTTGCTGCTTCCCTTGTCATGATGTCTTTTTTACCTGAATTGAAAGCGACTGTTTTAGGTTGGTTTTTGTTTGCAATAGGAGCTCATTATTTCCTTTCTTTGCCAATGGCTTATTTGAGATACTTGTTAGAAATGATAAACGAAGGAGCAAATTGCACTCATACGTTTTATTACGTCTCTGTCCCATCAAGGTAAATTGAACAGCCAGGACACGTACAATAACTTCACAAACAACAACCCTGGGAACCCTCGCCTGCTGCCGCTCCCCAGTCTGACCGTGGTGTTGCCTCTGGCTCAAATCAAGCAGCCAATGACGTTAGGGACCATCACCAAACGCACAGGGTAAGTCCACGTGCACAGACCTTTCTCAACCTTGCTATGTGTCGCTTCTGTGGAAATAATTTCTCTCTAGTTGTATTCCATTGAAATTAACTTATTTATTTGCAATGGCAGTGTGTGTAACGTAGTGCTAACAGAGCAGTTGGGTATGGGGGAAGGAGAGCTCAAGAAAAGAAAGCCAGCGCAGATAGGCAAACAAAAACTGAGCACAGATCTCTAAGAATTCAGGAGCATTTCGGATGAGACGTTTTCTTGCAGTCTGCCATATGGGAAACACCGCACGCTGACATCAGGAGAAGTTTCACACCAGGAATTGGTATGAAACATAAGCAGAGCTGTATTCAATCAGAATAAGTTATGGGTTTACGTTGTTGGGTTTGGTTGTTTCTTTTTTAAGTTTGTTTCTTTTGATTTCCAAACTGCTCAAGCAGGGATGCTTTCTGACTATCAGAAACTGAAAGACAGTGAGCCAGGTTGAGTGGAGAGAAAACTTAATCCTGATGTTTTCTTGGCCTTATTTTTCTTCTGGAGTGGCTGTTTTGTACTATGAAATTCACATGTGGGTTTTCTTTCTGGAATCAGTGGCACTTTGCTGCTCGCTGATGTGCTGTGATAAAGAACTGAAAAATGCTTATTCTGCAGAGCTCTACTAAATACATTTACATTGAAACTAGAAAGAAGATTCCCCGAGTTCCATGAACTGCACCAATTTTCAGGTTACTTCTTTCTGTTCAACCGTTTTTTTTCTCTTGCTAAAATTCAGTTCTTCAGTTTTCGCAATTAATGCATAAAACCAGCAGGTGATTTTTTTTTTAACCCCTCTCAATTTTTAGTAGTTCAAATCCCTGAATATTTTCTGGTTACAATTTCTAAGGCTGATTCGTGCATTGAGTTACAGACTGCTTTTATATTTGTAAGAAAAACAGATCAAGTTTGGCGTGTGGTTGGGCAAAACAACTGTCAGTCCTACAAGTTAATAGCATTTTCCTGCATTTTAGTAAATGGATGCAGGCACTGCTTTGCTTCAGTGGCTTCTTGCTTATCAATAATGAGGTGAATTCCACCTTGTGTTTCACGGTCTGGGAATTATTTTTTGGAAGGAGAGCTCCGGGATATTTCCTCTCTCCCTGAATAATTCCCACATTCTGTGCTGCAGCATTCTGTGAAATCTGTTACTGTTTCTTTAGTGCTCTAAATATGCATGATGGGCTTCCAAAGCTGACATCTGTATGCATGTATGTCCATGAATGTCTGTGTGTCTGTCTAACAGGCAGTCCTGCTCTCACTGCTGCAAACAGCAATTTCATTTCTAGAACAAATCATGCACTGCAGACACTCAGTTGCCCAAAGGAAAGAGGCTACCTGCACCCATGTCCCTGACTCCCTAGATAATTGTAAATGAGTGCTAGGAAAGAGTGAAGTAGTGCAAGAGTAATGCTGTGATTTACTTCTTCTGCATATATATTTCAATGGTTTATGTTTGCATTTTATTTCTACTAACAATTTAAACACTTGCAAGAAGAATAGATTGTGTCAGCAATCTAATTTTGTAAGTATAGAAGGGTGAGATTTGGAATGTGGGCAGGAAGGAAGCGAAACTTAGGGAAGTTGCATAGAAATAAGCAGCAAGTTACAGCTCCTGAAAAAGGAAAAATACACAAAGGTTTCTTAAAGAGTGCAGTCAGAGGAGAACAGAAACGAGGACACAAAGGAATGCACTCTTAGAGCTGGATGGGATGAGATGTAGGAAGAACATAAGAAGGCATCTGATGGTCGGTGAGGCGGCGGCAGCAGCGGCGGCGAGGGGGTGATTTAAACACAAACAGCCTCTGGTGCAGCTTTGGAGGTGCTTGGCTGCTTACAGAAACTCACACAGCTGCCTTACAGAGGCTGCTTCTTTATTGCCACGATGATACCTGCACACCTCACAACGGCCATTACCAATAAATGGGCATTCTGAATGTAATGTTTTATCCTTATTTTTCTTAAATGTACTCAAAATAGCGTCCGTATCCATAGATTTCTTTGATGAAATTCTACAGTTCTCAGCCTGCCCATGCCCTATTATTGTGTGTAATTTCTAAATTTAATTAAATTTAAAATACTCAGTGAGGTTTATGTAAGGGGAGGAAAAAGCAGTCATGGGAAATACCCTGCTGTGTAAATAGAGTTTTTGTGAATGAGGATCATAATTTTCAGCAAAGCCGGTGTAGATGTGTAACGTTCAGCTGAGTGCTTCCCTCATTTGTTCTGCATCCAAAACATTTGATGAAAGTACACAAAATTAACATGAAAAGCTGTATTTATGAAGTGGGGATTTAGGAGGAATGACTCGCATCCAAGAAGCCTGGCATGCCTAAAATGACCGAATTGAGACAGCAGCCTTAACTTAAACCTCCAGGGGGCAAAGCGTGTGTTTAACATATTTAACATCTGCCCTCATATTTCTGCAAACACATAGCAATGTAAGTCTGTACAGTGTAATATTTAGACAGGACAGGGACCATCTGCCTCACTCTGAGAAGTGTAGGAGGCATGTATTGCTGCAAATGGCAAAAGACAGATGTATTTACACCTACGTGGTCAGCACCTTTAAGCAGCGCTCCAAGGAAACAAGGCTCTTCTTTGGAAGCAGCTGCTTAACCTTGTGATTGTGCAGTGATCAGAAAAGGAGGAGGAATGGCAATCGGTTGGATTTTACCATCGCTGCTCAGTGGCCCTTAAAGCTGATTCCTTTTCCGTTGTTTCAACATGTAAAGAGTGACACATTTCTTCTGTTACAGTGCATTTTGAAAAGTAAAAAGCAAGCCAAAAAGAACGCTGTATAATTTGCCCACTCTGGTTTCATCCGTTCTGTTTGCTTTTAGCTTCTCTAATACAAGATATCTTACTTAAGTTTTTCAGGTTTTATTAACCATGTAGAGGTTTGTTTTGCCAGTATCCGGGACAGCAAACTATTTTTCAGGTGAAAGGACCTATCACTGCCATTAATAGGATCTGTCTCCAGCAGAGCTCAATGCGTGTCACTTTATTTGACAAGTGGAACGGCAGTAAATTCTTTACAAGTGGTCGCTGTAGCCCCGTGGGAATGAAAGACCAGAATCTGGAGCTGTGTCATGATGGTGCTGTTCATCACAGATATTTTTTTCATGTAAGCTTGTATGTTTGGGAGCATTATCTGATGGGACATTGAGCTCTGATTCCGAGCAGTTTCCATTCTCAGCACTCAGTACCTCTGTGCAGTACCTCCCTTACCCATCACCATCACACGTTCCCTGCCCTCCATTTCTTCCCTTGCTTTTTCAGGTCTCCCAGGGCAACTCCCCCACCTCCAGAAGCACTTCATTTTTGTCCCTATGTTTTCTCATCCTGCTGACTCACTTTCCTGCAGTTTGTGCTGTCAGTGCATTCTGAGGAGCAGATAGATGTTCCCAAAGGAGCTCTGGCACTAATGAGGAAGGAAGCATCTAATGTTTTAAAGATTAGGGGGATGCAAGACAGCGAAGGAGATAGGTTTAATAAGTCTTTATAGATCCATGCCTCAGTTTCCCTCTCAGAATTTTAATAGTTATGCTGAATTCCTTCTCAGGTCTCGTGAATGGGTTAATTCATTGCTCCTGTAACAAAGAGCTCATAGATTGGAAAGAGGAAGAGCTGTGCGGTCCATCTCACGCTTGTCCGTAACAGGGAGTGCATCCGAACATGGCAGAGGACAGCTTTGTGCTGTGCAGCTTCATAAGCGTGCCTTGTGTTTGTGGAATGAGTTGTAGTTTGTTTCCAGTGTAAGAATGTGGGGACACAGACGCACCGTAATAGGAAGAAGGGAAATAAACGATAGAGGAACGGCCCCAAAAGGAAAACCATTTCAACAATGGACTTCTCTGGCAGCAGCTGGAGAACTTTCTGGTTTTAACTTTCTCGAGCTGTTCGGTTGTTATGTTTGTATCATACTTCATTCTCAGATTCATTATAGATGTAGTGAAACACAAAGATGTGCCCTACATTCGTTGGGTCTTGTCACAGCAGAGATGTCCAATGCATCTTGCAGGAAAAGAGACAAACTTTTTATGTTTTCCATCCAATAACCATGGATAGTGAATTTTTAAACATGAAACTCCATCCGTTCTTCATCCAACTCCCCATTTTCATTCCTCATTACACCCTGAATAAGAGGAGGAGTAGGTTAAGTGTCTGATGTTGAAGCAGGCTGAGATATTATCATTTTAATGTTTCTCTTTGCTTTTATTTCATGTACTGAACATCACTGGTATCCTGTTTATCCTATTTGGCTCAGAAAGGCTTGGTTAATCCCAGGTTTCACTACTGGGGCAAGCAAAAATAAGGTGTGCAAAGTCCTGTCGTCGTAGTGTAGTTATGGAGGTACAGGAACTAAAAATCAAGACAATATTAAAAGCAAATCTGAAGAATTCATTGAAATAGGTTGGCTGCTGTGCGTGCTGCAGGCAGGCACTCAGGCACATTTCTCAGGCGTGTTTTACGTCGCTTTAACATTTTATAAAATATATTTTGGTTGTAAAGCAACTCCTGTAAGTGATACCAAATACAGTCAGGATGGCAATGAGGGTTTGAGTAAATGAGGGTCACGTGTTTTATTAAAAACTTAAATAGTTGCAAGTTTATATTAAACATAACAAAGTTGAATAATATTTCAGTTTTGAATTTGCTAAAATTCAGAAAAGAAATTAAGAAAATGCTGTTGGAATTTTGAATCATAAATCATCTTCAGTTATTATTTTCCTTTAGAATTCCCCACTAACCACAAGAGCAGAGAACCTCAGTGAGGTTTCTGCCTTGGCATTGCTGTGTTACTGCCATCGAGCGCAGCCATCTGCTGCTGTCTTTTCAAGGTTGGGTTATCCTGTAATTTGTACTCCCCCCATTAACATACCATCCATATTGTGTGAAGGAAATACTGAAAAACAATTACTGAAATAAATGTCTTAGGAAAAAAACAGTCATTTTCAAAGAAAGTGGGACTCACGAATGTAAAAATCCGTGTTCATCTTTCTGATGGCTATAAATAAGACTATAGCTTAGTCTTGTGACTAATTACATTTCCCACATAACACAAGATTTTGAGTCTATGTATGGAAAAAATTGTTACTAACAACAGCAACACTATAAAACAAGAAAGCATCTTCTACTGAAGACTGTATCCCCCTAGGTAATTTATATTTAAACTGGAAAGAATTTCTTAATGTGCAAATATAATTGGGTCAGTATAGTATGGTGGGCTAAAAACCCCAGATATCCCCACTGTTGTAATGCACTCACGTGAGCATCATGAGCCTGCTTTGTGCAGATACAGAAACTGAGGCAGGTGGAAAAGGAATTGCTTGCTAAATGTCCGGGGTCAAGCAATTCCAGGCTCCCAGTCAGAGCTGCCCACCTCCAGTGACTCTTCAAATACACACAGGATAGATTCTGGGAATTGAACCGGATTGGTTGTGGGCTGTACAAAAACCTTAGCTTTTCAGTGCTTAAAGTGTGCAGCAGTGCTTTGCTGATGTGATGCTGAGCCATGAGAGCGGCCCTCAGCTCCACGAGGCGCTGAGTATTGCTGTATGGCACGTCCTAGCACTCGTACACTGCATGCAATTCGTACATTTCTGGCAGTGTAGTTGGGGTTTTGTTCAATCACCATGCATTATGTCTGGAAAGGCAGCAGGTTCCATCAAATGAGGAGCGGGCACAGGATTTTTTTCCACAGTATTCCGTTCCGTATTGGATTTTTACATCCTAGAATGTAGAACATACATCTTACTTTTCTACCTTCACATTAAAGGTGTTCTTATGAGATGTCTGCATTTCTTGATGTTGCACTCTTGCCAGATTTAGTTTTTTCAATTTTTTTTTGTGCTGCTCTAATTTTAAATGTTTACACATAAGGCTGAGTGCACGACACCTCGCAGTGGTGGACCTGCTGGGTTTAGTTGATTTACTGAAAATACTTCAATTGTTTCAACTGGCCAGAGTTCATCCCTGAGTCCAGGTATGAAAAGAAAGATGATGCATTGGCATTTACCAAATCAGTCATTCAGTACTGTTGTGGGTAATGTTACATCCCAAATGGGAATCAAAGGAGCTGTGAGCACATGAGCAGCTCCACATTTACCTCCTGTTTTGCTTTTCAGATTTTATGCAAATGTCAGTATGGCAATGGCTGGTGATGTAAACAAGGGGAAATTCCATGCAAAATGCTCTAAAATTAGTGGTGTGTGATACCACTCTCAGAACTATGCACTGTACCAAGTAGTTCAGCTGCAACCACATCATGGTACAGATACATTGCAGAGTGGCCAAAAGCACTAAGCTCTACAAATTGGGTGATTTTTAACATCAGGTGTATTCGAAGCAAGTTAGGATTCTCTTCCCTGCATTCTGTGCAAGCTCATCAATGGGGGAATAAGATTTCTGGGTCATCTAGTCGCTAGAGATGATTAATTTGATAGTATCTTTCTATCCTAGGAAAAGGGCTGCGGAGCTTTCCCGCAGAGGAGTGCCTTGTGCTGCAGTCTCTCTTGCCCAGTGCATTCACCAAACTGTCCAATGCAGAGCTTCAGTGTTTCACGGGGAGCAGCCACACATTTGTTGCTCTTGTTGCTAATTTACTCTGTTTACCTGTTATGACTTCCAACATCTATTTAAGGCTCTCTTGACTACATTTGCCTAAGAATTGTCTGCAGACTAAACTGTGTCTAACTTGAACTACCACGCCAGAGCCCACCTGCACGTGATGCATCGCATGTGTCGCAGTGTGGTGCATGGAGAGGGAGCCGTGCAGCCGCTCGCGCTGTGGCCGCGTGCTCTGGGCAGGCGCCGCTCCGTGTGTCAGCATGCTGGTGATGTGAGAGGCCTACATCTCTTTCAGGGCATCATGAATGGTTATGACAGTTATTTTGTTTACCTTCTGCGTAAATCTTAATAGCATGATGTAGAGTGTACTTGTTGGTAATTGAGTTTTCATCTAATTTCTGTGCATTTTTCCCCCTTCCGTGAAGACCTTACCTGTTTGGAGCAGGATGTTTTTCCATAAAAGCTCCATGGTGAGTTCTCAGTTCAATCCCAGCATGCCTATAATTCATTTGCTGTACTCACTAAACATAACTCTGTGTTTAGACTTTTTGTTTGGGATTATTTATTTTTTTTCCACATTGTTCACTGCATGGCTGATCCATAGGTGGAAGCACTGCATAATTTCACTTTTAAGCTGTGGATGCATATTCACCATCGAGTGTTGTCAAGCAAATGCATTCTGTTTTTGTTGTTGTTTTTTTTTAACCTTTGACGGTGCATTTAATTTTTAAGTAGCAAAGAAGCTGAAAAACTTAATTATTTTCCAACAGGCAAAAAGGATTGCAAGTGATTTTCAAAGCAGATCTGCTTTTTTGTATAGCTTCCCTTCCTATAGTGGCACTAAGTTGCTCACAGACAGAAATCATCAGTGATGACCTCCTGATACTAAGCCAGATTAGCAGTGAGTAGACAGTAAAGTATTGCAGTAAGAGATGTAAAGCAAGCCAGGTGGGCACTGCAAAAGAATAATAATTTACAAAGCTTATCACACCTGAGGAAAAAATGAACCACAGTTCCTTTAATGTGAGGATGTTTGACAATAATGTATTATTTTTTATAATATGTAAAATAGAAGCATATTTCAAAGGGAGAACAGTTCATAAGTTTCGTTTTGCCGGGGCTCGGTTCGGGATTCATACAGAGCTTTGTAACAGCCAGCCACATTTTATCACGTGAGGGTTGGGTGGCTGCAGTTATAAGCATCAAGACTGGACGAAGTCGGGGGTTTTCTTAGGAGATGTGCATGGTCTGTGTGTCTTTGAGAACGTATCACTTCAGCAGAGAGGTGTTGGTAGGAGGGAGGCTGAGGGTGGCTCACGCAGGGTGCGTAAGCTGTGCAAACTCTCGAAAAGCAAAGGCACTGTGAAACAAAAGGAAAGGGAACATTTACTGCTTATCACATGAATCATTATTACGTGAGCATTGCAGGGAAGGAATTAACAGCACAGTATTTGGCTCCCAAAGCAGTATTCCTATGGAGCGTTCCGAAATGCAGTCTGTGATGCACCCAAATTTCGTCTGGCAGTGACCTAAGGAGTGAAGGGCTCTGGAAGAGGAGTGCTGAGCACGGCATGCATTGGCCAGTGCTGCTGGGAGCTCCCTTCATAGCATGGGCTCCCAGCACTGCAGCCTTGTCAACCAGAAATGACTTTAGATTGAAGCAAGATTAAAAGGCCGAGATTAAAGAGGGGAATGTATGAAATAGACTCAGAAATCGTTGCCTGTCTTTCACAAGACTCTCTTGTGGTTTGTTTAACACCAGTGCTAGCTCACAAATATGGGCTTTCCTAGCCTACAGAGAAATTAGGATAAAAAACACACTTTGGGCAGGGAAAGAAGTCATGTTGTTCCCATTAAAGTCTTAATGAGACCTAAATTATGTAAACAGAATGAATGGAGATTTGACAGCTTATTGCCTGGCGAATAAAGGAGCCTGCTATTTCTTTCTTGCTTTCTCTTGTTTTATTCATGATTTGACAACTGGGAACATGTCTTTATTTTCCTTTTTTCGGCACAAAGATAAAGTAATGAAGATGTTTGTATTTTGAGGCAGATAGGAGTTTTCAGTAATTTTGCAGCTATAAATTTTGTGCAGTGTTTTTCTCTGGTACTTTTGTGGCCACTTATGAGAAAACTTTTCCCTTCAAAAATGGAGCGTGCCCATTTTGGTGGATTTCTCTGCGGATGATTTGTGCAGTGACTTACAGATCAGTGCTGTTGTTTTTATGAATCTGATGTGTTTAAAACCTCGTCACTGGTGATATAAAACCAAACAGGGGCTGCAGAGAATGAGAATCGCACTATTTTGTAGATGATACTTCGTTTCATAAACCAATTTCTTCATATCGTGGATCTGAAATTTGTTTTTTATACATTTAAAGCCGTGTCACTTGTTTGCTGTCTGAAATTGAAGACATTGAACAGCCAGCAGTATTCTGAAGGACACGGAGCTCTGTGAGGCACACTCCATGCCTCTGTTGGTACCCTGTGGTTTTCACCAGTTGCCTATGATTTTCAGAGCATTTAAATAGAATTAATTCTTTTTTCTTACCTCCTTAAATTGGGAAAATAGTAACAAATGAAAAGTAGCTGAGATACAGTTACGATGTTTTATGATGGTCAGTTATGAGCACACTTCAGAAGCTGTGGCAGACGTTAGGGTTGGTTACAGAAGTCAAGGAGTCTTAGTGCTGAGTTGTTTCAGAAGCTCTTCATCTTTTGTTCTTTGTCAGCATGAAAAAACTTGCACGCTCCTGCTGCAGTCTTCATTTTTTTAAGGAGATGACAGTGGTGCCTTAATTATCGTCAGCTTCCTCTCAACTTTTGCACCATTTCCATAGAAAATGCACATGTGTGTTTTTTACTGGTTATGTACACATCTATTCTCAGTGTTCCTACACTGAAAATGGGAATCATCCTCCGAAATGATGTCAGAGAAGTTAGTTATTATCAGCAGCACGCATTTCCCCAGATGTCCTGTACTGAGCTGAAGATTGAGTTCTAGCGGGTGCCTTTGTCTCCATCTTCAAGTGGGACAGGTGCACGGGAGCTGCTGGAAACTGAAATTGCACTGCATGGCCTTTGCTGAGGCAGAGATCTCCTGGAGTGTGGGTGATGTAACGCCAAGGTTTTTGTTAGCACTGTTCTACAGCTCAGCATCGTGACAGAGAGGGGTCGGTGTGCTGGGCAGGAGGCACGGCCATCTCCATTCCTTTTCTCCTCCGCAGTGTTCTTCATCCTCCTGCAGCAGAGCTCAGCCAATGGAAGAAGCCCCACGCCGTGCCCTGCGGTTCGCTGGGCCTTTCCTGCACCAGGGCCTCTTGCAGAGGGGCTGCACAGGACTTGGAGAACGGGGGCAGCTTTCTGCAAACCCGGCAGTGGAAGTGGATGGCAGAGCCTGCCTGAGATCCTCAGCTCCCTGCTTTGATGGGCACTCGGGCACGATCTGCTCGAGTGACAGAGGAAAAAGCCTTATTGCCCCCCTAGGGTGAAACAAGCAGAAATGGTTCTTTTTTTGCAGATAAACTCTGGGACCGTTAGCTCTTTCTGTGTTATGTTTTTTCTTTTTTTTTTAACCTTCTGCTGTAGGTTTCTGCATCGATACCATTGGGAAAATAACAGTGCTGTGCCGTGGTGAGTGCTTGGTGTAGGTGGGCAGACCCAGACGGGAAGAAGTCTGCCAACAATTTATCCTCCACGTCTCTTACAGGGCCGTTGTGTCTCGTGATGGAAGATTGAAATTAAGAGCAAAGATTTTGGTCAGATTAGTTCAACTTTTCTTATTTCTTCTGCCCTTCTTCCTGCATCATAAGCCTTTCCTGCAAAAAGATACAGCGTAATATTCTGAATGTCAGTATATTGTGAAGATTGCTTGAAATTAACTGTTTTTAAAAGTGAGCCCAAATGTGCCTTAATTTCAGCTCATGGAATAATTTACGAAGTGCTGACAGGCTGAGAGCAAGGAAAGAGCAGAAGTTCTTAGCAGAAACCAGTCATTCACCACCTACCTTCAACATTTCTGTTTTGTTATCGTTTATAAAGCTGAGAGGGTGCTTGCATCTACGTAATGATGAGGATTTATAGTTTTCAAGTTGTTAAAATATCATAATGACATGAAAATATATTTTTCTAATGGCATTACCATTACAGAAAAATAATTTGGCTTTTGAGATCTACTGAAAGAAAGAAACTTGAGTTGGAACGTATTGATGAAAACTGAGAGGTTAAAGTGAAAAGGTGGGAAACCGAAAGGTTCCGTAGTTACAATAATTTCAGTGTAGACCTGTTGACATCCCTGCACTTATTTCAGAAATATGCAGAAACCAATGTGATGCAGCAGCAGTCCTTGGCTTTTGTTTTTCGCAGGACTAAGTTGAACCACATGAGTGCTGATGTTTTGCAGGGTCTGCTCTCTCTGACTACAAAACACCACTCTGGGACGGAAAATGTTTTGTCACTGAAGCCAACACTTCAATGCACGCCTTGAAAAATGTACATCTTAAAGATACAAAGTAAATAGAATGTAGTCCAGAGCATTTCCTCCAGCTGTGTATGCCTGTGTTTGGTTGAGCAGAGCTCTTTGGGACTCAGAGCGTCCCAAACTCAGCAGAGATTCTGTAATTTGTTGTTGATCTCAGGTTCCCTTCTGCTGAAAGGCTCAAAGCAATGGTTGAAGTCCATTATGTCTCTGGTTTATGTTTTAGGATAGCATTTGCTTCTACTTTGTTGGTGGTTTTTTTCTCCTTTTTATATCATCTCAGTAACCTTGGGTGTGTGGTGAGAATATTTAGAATATTAGGAATATTAGAATAGCATAGAAAGATAATTTTCAAGAGTTTCTGTGAGGAAGCAAATGTGAGTGAATCCTGTTGGTACTCATAGTTGGCTCTGTACTGATTGAGGGGCAACATCATCCTTCTTAAATCTTGTTTAACATTAAGAACGAACATTTATTGTTTGAAGCACGGATCAGTAAGAAGCCCGCGATGAGTGCACGCATTGCAGCATCATTTCTGCAGTGGTGTCCATGTGTGAGTGCTTGGAAGCTGAGAACTAATAATAGTTTTCAACACACAGTTTGTCCCAGAACCGATGGGAAGGGCTGCTTGTGGGACAGATGACTATTCAAAGTGAGCAAAATCTATTCTGAATTTTTATGAGCGGCTGACAAGTAGTGTGTTAATATCAATCAGAAATTCTGATGTTGTGGTCAGGAACTTTTTGGAACACAGAGTTTGGATCCAGTAATCTGTAATTGCAGATGTAACAGTTGGATATGAAGTGCTTTGTGGTAGTTCAATATCGGAGTTACTGACTATAAATTGCAATTGCTCTTTGGGGACGTTCCACCTTCTGGTGTAAGCAGAAGAGCTTCAGGACCGGTCTGAGTCCATGAATGTTCGTTTGAATATTACAGTCAATGTAACACAGTTCCTTTTGGAAGGTTGTTTTCATGCTGTTATTTTGTTTTATTTCTTATTTTTTCTGCAAATGAAACACGTGGCCACAGGTTTGCTGTATCTGTGACCTGTGGCACATACGTATCTGCACACACAATTAGGATTTAAGAACTTAAAAACAAATAAGAATGTGGCAGTGTAATCAGAGATAGATATATTGTGGAATAGGAATTAATGAAAGAAAAAATAAAGTGGGGAAAGGTAGGAAGAGAAGGAAGCAATGACATAGAATATAAGAAAGAGAGAGAAAGGAAATTGCAAAGATGGAAAAAAGAATAGGACACGGATAAGAAGGAATCCTGTGTGAACTTCTCAATCAGTGTTCCTGCTGAGGAACAAATGAGATCCAGGTTTGCTGGGCAGTGCTCTAAAAAGAGCTTTGAATTCATATAAATCTGGAAGGAGTCGAAGAAGAAAGTGAAAATGCAGTCGTGTTTCAGTACAACACAGTGACAAGCCACTCGATGTGCTACTTGTACATTGTTCAGTATCGTAGGAGAATTTTTCTTACTCTTTTTATTTGGTGCAATTACTGATTTGTTTTAACATATAGCACGAGTGTACACATTCTTTCCCTTCCCTCCTGTCCTCTGCATGCTGTTCCCTCTTACCTGTTGCTCACGTCGTGTCTATTGCAGTGGTTTCAATGCCATCCTCACTGTCTGGGTTGTAGCTGAGCAGCAGTCAGTGTGAGTGTCAGCTGGATGCGGATCTTCTGCAAATGCTGGGAAAGACCAGCCGCCTTGGGTGGCAGCCCCAGACTCCGTTTTCATTCCCAAAGGGCTTCCAAATGTCTGCATTCCCTTTGGAATTTGTTTCTATTGAATGCAAATGTTCAATATTGGGTCTTTCAAACAGTCTAACCAATTCTGCATTATGAGCAGTGCTGTTCTTCAAGTTAATGAGTTCAGCGATCGAGGGGAATTTGGAACCTATTATCCAGAAACACTGAGCATCTGTAAGTCCTGCCAGATCATAGGGGAACTGCAGATATTCAGCACCTCCGAATTTGTACCTGAGAATGGCTGTGAAGCAAAGGACATCGTCATTTTTCAAGTATCAATTTGCCTAATTTGTTTTTTTGTTTTTGTTTTTAATTTAAGCAAAACCAAACCGGCTCCACAGATTTCACCCAGTAAGTCTGTGGGAGGAGAGTTTTGTGTCGCTGCAGTCTTTGGATCATCGAGGTCGTGGTTTGCAAACAATGCTGGGCTGAAAAGAGAAAAAGGTAGGGAAACTTTCTGGAAATTAACTGTGCTGCTTATGATTTTCTTTTTGTCTCCCCAGCCCCTGCAGTTCTTTTAGTTGATGTATTTGACCACAAGTTTATTAAGCCGAGCGACTTCCAAGAATAGTCGGCCATTTCAGTAAATATTTTTTCAGTTTCTCTTCTGCTGTTGCAGTAAGATTTTCTTTCTTCTCGCAAACAGATCAATCAAAGCAGTTTGTAGTGGAGTCACTGTACATCATCAGCTGCTACGGGAGCCTCGTGGAGCATGTGTTGGAGCCACGTCCGCTCAGCACTGCTCCCAAGATCAGTGATGACACCCCTCTGGAAATGATGACGTGCCCGAGAGCCAGCTGGACTTTGGTTAGGTAGCTCATTTCTTTTTCTTTCTGTCCTCCTTTTTGTCCAGTAAATGAGTATGAACTTCTTTTTTTTTTGAAAGGAATGAATGAACTGCATCAAGATTTTTGCTGTTATTTTTATCTGTTACGGACTTTCCATTAAAAGAGGATTCAATAGCCAATTCAAGCCTAAATTTTCTTGTAGTTCTGTTAGTGCTTAGACGTGGAGCTATGTGAACACGTGTAAGATCAATAGAGATCTTTATCAGTTGGTGATTTTAAATGATCAGTTTGTAATTTAGTTTTTTATATATTTTATATTTATAAATACAGAATTCTGCCATGAGAGATGAGTGAGGTTTTCCAGATGAAGCATTGCAGAGTTAGGCGAGTTATCCTGTAAGTAGCTGAAGGTAGCATTTCTTGAGGTAGCTGAAGAAATTATTCCTGACATGTGGAGGAAAGTAAACAAAAATTGATGAGAAACTGTTGTCAGTGCTTTTGACGTTTTAAAATATTTTCTTATCGATTTTTCTTGGCTCCTATATTCCTTAGTGCTGCTTATTGCTGGACTGGATTGATCAATACTTGATTTACCAAGCTATTTAGGAATGGCCCACCCTAATTAAAATTACAACACAGACTTCTAGACCATTATTGTTGAAATGAGTAGGTTGTAATGGAATTGAAAATTCTAATTGGATCAATAGTCCATAACTTTACACAGCTTTATTTTCACAGTTTGTAAATGCTCAATGACTTTACAGTATTGAAGCAATGCTAGTTAACAGAACACAAAAGTTCCCCAGGTTCTGCAGTATGTTTATATTAAATAATGTTGCCGTGGTCCTAAACGTATTTACCAGCATGATCTGAACTGCCTTCGTCATTTTGGTGTGCAGTATTTGCTGCAGCTGACAAGCAAGTATTGTCTTCACAATCTGCACAATTTGGCCACGCTGCACAGCTGCCTGTGGTGTACTTCAGTGTTTGAACAAGCTAATTTAAGTAATTACAAACATTTTGTGAGCTTGTATAGATAATTACACGTGATGACAGAAATGCTGATTTACATTCTCTGTATTAGGCTTAAATATTAATAGTCTTGTGTTTTACCTCAGAACTCCTCAGTGGAATGAGCTCCAACCACCATTTAATGCAAACCATCCACTGCTGCTGGCTGCCGATGCAGTACAGTACTACCAGTATCTTCTTGCTGGCTGTAAGTAGCTGACAACTTTTTGTCTTATGTGCAAGCTGTGTGCTGAGCATGACTTTCTGAGAGGGATTTTCAAGCTGCATTCTTCAAACAAAATGACAGCAGTTGGCCAAAATTGGCTTTCTAAAAATTCATTATGAATGAACTGGGAGGAGTAGGGTTTTTGTGTGAGATGTAACTGAAATGTGATGAAGATTCAGAGACAATTTACCATAAGAGATGAAGTTTTAGAAACGTAACAGTGTGCCAGTAATGATATAATTAGAGGGAGGTAAAATGTTTCCATGCATTTCCATTATAAAATATAAGTATATATGTATAGTTATAACATCTACCAGAACTAATGCTCTGATGTTCTTTATTCTTTTTCGTTTTTTTAATACATATTCCAAAAGATGTACATTCTGTTAGATTGCAGCAAACTGTAGGGAAAGGACCAGCATTGGGATGCTATACTTCCTGAGTAGTAGCTTACACTGAACAAGTGCGTGTTACATCAGAGGTTGGGGATGGGAGTGCCCACCCGTGGTTAGGTGTTTAGTAGTATCACATGAGCTCTTCTGTGCAGCAAGAAGCTGTGCTGGTTTCAGTATGTGTTCACCTTCAGAAAAGAGCTTCTTGTAAGCAGCTGTGCTAGCAATGGCAGAGTAGTAGAGTTAGATTCATTTCAACATGAGTCAAGCTCTTGAGGCCGTTGTGTAGGCAAAAAGTGAGAGCTTGGCAGGCCTTGCAAGTGTGACCCGTTAGCTACCCTAAAGACTTAAGGGTTTCTTCCCCTTACTTCTCTTGCTTTCAGCCATTTCCTCATGAAACTTACATTCAGAGACAAACAAGTGCATCTGCATTTTCCCACTTCCCTGGAAATCCTCATTGCTGGGCTGCTTCCAGCTGCTTCCCTTGGGAGCCCTGGCCCCACTTCCAGGGGTGGCTGCCCACCATGCTGTGCTGCCCAGCCACGCGTTTACAGGGGGTGTTACCCATCCTATGGCATATCCACAAACATTTGATTTATGTACCTGTATTTACAGATAATGCATGGATATTATACAGCTCTGGTATATATCACATATTTTTAATAGATAAATGAGTACTTTTATTTATAAAAGTCACATTTTTTTTTATTCTCACAATTCAGAGAAGACTGTTAGTAGTGATTATCAAGTCTCTTCTTTATTATCAAGGGTGTAGTCAAGACTGAAGTGATGTAACAGGCTGAATTCCACAACTCTTGGCATATGCAGAGGTACTCAAGGGGAAATCAGAGCCTCTGTGCAGTTGTCAGTGCAGCAAATGCCAGCAAGTTACGTGACAGGAGCATTCAAAATGCAGAAAGTGGACACCTGGGCTGAGAGGCAGGAAGGCTGAAGGTGGCTGTAAAAGCGATGTTGGCAGCAGACCAGATCTGTTGCCTCTACCTGTCCATCTGTTACGTGCTCTGAGAGCTCAAAATGTTGGGAAACCTGCAGGTTCTTCCTTTTTCCATGCTGCATGTAGGAAAGGGAAGGAAATTCACACTGTAGAAAATAGAAGACAGAGGTAACTAACAGCACACAAAACTGAGTGAGCTGTGCTTTGTAGCCAGAATGTTTTCTGATATTTCTGTGTTGTTTTACTTTCACATACAGGTATGTGGGCTCTGCTTTGAGAGGAAAGGTCATTGCAAGGATGCATGCTGGTTGTATAATATTTTATGATACAAATTTAAACACAGATCAGTATTTTCAAAAGAGAGTGAAAGGATATTGTCCATTGCTGTGTACGTTTATTGTTCTTTAGGGCTGTCAGGCCTCTTGCTTTGCAGAATTATCTAACCAGGCTAACAAACACAGTGTCTTCAGGGAAAACAGCAATACTAAGTCATGTTGAAGTGCTCTCCAAAGCCAGCTTTTATTCACAGATGCTAGCTCTGTTTGGGAGTCCTTGCAGCTTGTCTGTTCGGCCAACATTCCATTCCCCCCTTCTCCCCTCCCCACATTCTCTGCTCTAGTTGTGGACATCTTTCTCTTCCATGCTGTCTTCAGCTATTTCTCCTGCCGGCTGTCAAGCCTATGAATTATTGCATGTAGTAGGCAGTTATTGCAGTACACGTCCAAAAGCACAGAATGCTGTCTGGGGAATTTTGGACATTCTGTACAAGTATTTGTAAACTTTTTCATTTCTGCAGAAATGTAAGTAATACACGAATACCAGCTGAACAAAAGCCTTTCAGAGAGCACTGATGTGCAGATGCACAGATACATTTACTTATTTCTCTGTATTTCATTAACAACTCAAGGACTGTCTGTTTCAAATGTCTTCTGTACTGGGACCTTTTTAATGGAAGAGGAGTGATGGCTAGATTCCAGCAATATAATGAAGTTCCATTATTTGAATAACAGCAAATAATTTTAAGTCCTATGAGTTGGAATTGGGACAGTACAGAATAATAAATACTATAGACAAAAAAAAGTGGAGAACACGGTAAAGTTAACAGTAACAACTTTGTGTGTATGTGATCTTTGAAGCTTTATTTGTCTTCTGGAATTGTTGTATCTGAAGCTACTCAGTGAAGTTTGTGAAGAAGTGGAGTCCAAACAGGATTTGCACACATCAGTCCCAAGCACCTGTTAGTTTTCCCCCCTCAAATACAGGCTGAAACGAAGTTGGCTGGCTTTGCTTACCTGGACAGCGTGATGGGCTCGCATTAGCTGCAGCCTGTGGTCTGATGGGCTATCACTTCCATCAGTAAGTTTAATTGCCAGCAAATGGCTAAATAGGAGGCTTAGGGTGAATGTTACATCTGTCTGCCACGTTAGTGGTAAGAGGAATTCTGGCGCCGTTTCAGGGTCACTATTTGTATCTGTCTATCAGAGGTAGAATACAGCAGTTTCTCTCAGTTTCTGTATAGCATTTCTGCCAATTGTTTGGCTCCATTAAGTGTGCAGTGGAAATAAAAGCCTGAATGACCAAGTCACAAGGGGGTATGGATAGACCCTTTCTTTGTCCACACTCAGAACATTGCATTAGGTCTCATTATCCATTTATAATAAGTGACCTTTGCCCCCTGGGTCATTGAAAAATACTCAGTGTGCTTTTTAGCACAGAGTACCTCTGTCAGCAGACGGGCAGAACAATGAAACGTCTGGCAGGCTGCTTGGAGAGCTGTACTTTGCAGGTTTTCTTAACTATGCAGTTTGATGCCAAAACACAGAACCGAAATCTGTTTTAGTTTCCAAAAAGTATAAAACTCTTGTGATAAAGAGGTTTCAAAAATACTGCGCGTAGGTATCCTTTATGCACGGTTCCACTTGTAATATTATTAAAGGATTTTAGAGTTACATTCAGAGCTGTTGAGGAAGGAACAAGGAACCATTGTTTGAAGAAATATTTTGTACAACAAGTGTCCAAGACCTTTATCCCAAGGGTATTTGTAAGTGGATTAGCACAGCTGTTTCATTGCTTTGAGGTCATCAGTGACATCTGCTGCAAAAACCTGGATCAGAGCATGCAGTTCTCATCTACCTGAGTGCTTCAGTGCAGCCATGGCTGGCGTGGAGAGGTGAGAGAGTGGGTAGTGAGAGATTTGAGCCCTCCTGTAAGTTTGTAGCTTGAAAGTGAACTTGCATTTTAAGCTTCACAACCTGCCGGTTGGCAGGAAACATCAGCATCCCGCTCCTATAACTGTTTTAGGCATTTTGCAGTTGGTCTTTGTAAAAATAATAAATCATGAGAACCTCCTTGGCTTCTTCTGGAGCAGATTTCAGACTTTCTTCATGTCCGAATTTATACAGACACGAGCGTGATACGTAACAAATTGCAGTGACTTTGAATTCCAGCACAAAGTGTTACATCCTCATTTCATACTTCCCCTTCTCCTTCTTCCTTCCTGCTCCCCTTTGAATTTCATCGCACTGAAGGTGTTGTGGACCGTAGTTCAGATATCTGACACATGAATGATTAACATGTTAATGAACCAAACCTTGAAATCAGAGCAAAAACTGATCCCAAAAGATAATAACATTAATTATGATTTCTGTCCTTTGGCTCTGGAAAGGGCATCTTCATCTTCCTGGCAAGAGTTTTGGCTCCTCAGGACCAATTTTATGGAGACGACCTGCAGTTGTCAGAAGCAGGCCAGTGACAAGAATTAATATATTAACTGGTATGCAGTACTCTTTGACAAATTGCTTACTAAATACATCAAAATTGATTGGGCATTCTGTGTTTAAATTGACAAATGACTGCATTAGGGGAAGGAGGGAAATCCATTAATTACAGCTGCCCTCAACCGTAGGAAATGTAATCGTATAAATATAGATTTTGTTAAAACAAAAGTCTCTACTTTACTGTAGCGTTGCTGGTAAGTGTACTTGCACCTCCTCGCTATTAAACTTCCAATAGGAGGTTCTGAAGACAGATCTTTGCAACTGGCTTTTAAAGCATCAAAGACCATTTCTGTTTTTTTCTCCCACTCTGACCACTTCTGGAAATTGTGTTTCCAGAAAAATGGGCGTCTTGCTGAGGCTTCTGCTGTCTCAGTAGCTGTTTAATCTAAATGCTGGGTAATTCCTATTTCCATTTTAGAACTTGGAACAGGACTACGTATTTTTGTTCTTCGTTCTTGCTTTGGTCCCCAAGTAATATTTGCATGGCTGTTACTTATTTCTGAGTAAGAATTTTCACTTGACTTGGGCCCGAAGATATAAACGGTTTTGTAGACTTTATTAAGGGATTCTTGAAAGGAGTAGGGTCTGTATTTATAGATGCCTTTGACTTCTGGCTGTTACTACAGATTTTCATTTCTGGACCAACTGTTGTACATATTTAGCATTTTACTGAAAATGGCTTTCATTAGAAGTCAGACTTAATAACTGCTTGTTGTCTTCAAAGGAAGGGGTTAAGCTCTCTTCACTGTTTGTTTGGGATAAATGATAACAAGATTTATACTGATAGTCTGAACACTGACATCATGTTTGCACTTCCTGCTCCCTTGAATGAAAGCTACGCACCCTGAGCGAGACTTT